CAGATAGAATAATTTCGAATAACATTAAATAGGAAAGGAGGATAGCAGCACAATTAACTTATTTGCACGAAGAAATTCACGTTGGAACTACAAAACCTTTTTCAAACAAATATTTTTATGATTGAAAACATATTCGTTGATTTGAAGACTTCTACTGAATCGCCAAATTTTTAATAAAAAAAATAAAAAAAACAACTAGTAAAACTAAAACTAGCCGGTAAAATATTGCGTAACCGGGTTTTAGTACAAAAAAAAATATCCTGTAATTTTATACAACTTTAATTGAGTTCAATATTAATATTATTAACTGTTAATTAAAATATACGAAAATGTAAGCGAAATACGTTGCTTTCTTTGTACCAGTTGTGTTATTTCAATCAAATTATGTATACATGTATATTAGTAGAAGGGGTACGCACATTCAGCATAATGGACATACAAACTGATTTAAACGAAAGATTAATATTTATATAAAATGCTTTTTACAACATTTTATTGCTTTTAGTGATAAATCGTTTAAAGAAATTTTTTAATTAAAAGTTTATTTTATTTTTCTTATAAAGTTTTAACAGCAGGAGTCAAATTGTTACATATATAATAGACAGATAATTAAAAAAAAATAACAAAAGAATTTTAATTAAGCACTTTTCGCTACACATATGAAAATAATATCGTATATGGGTAAGTGTATTAAGTAAATAAACTGATTTTATAAGTATATGAAATATATATAGAATATTAAACTTTTGTTTTTCAGTTTCATTAAGTCTGTATCTAAATGAAGGACGTCCACATTTGTTTAATCAAGCGTGCACTTTAAATCCAATCATATTGCGACTACATGGTTGTTCCATGTAAATTATAGGACTTCCGGTCAGTTCTTAAAGCGTAATTTTGTTTACCTTTACGATGCTAAAACTAATATTCAAATTCAAATATATTAATTATTACACACATCTCTATATGAAATTTAATACAATGATATCCGTCAAAGTAGTTATTATGAAACCATCATCAGTTCGATTGTTCTACACTGCAAATGTTTCAAAATGTATTATACATTAAATCTAATTTAATTTTAATTCATAACCCAAAACCCTTTAGTAATATAACTTATATTTTACTATGTAGTCCCACCATTTCACATTGTGCATAACATATGTGAACAAAATAATAGGTGAGTTTAGTTGGTACCGTTTTTTCGTCAAATTTTGTTGCAACTACTTTGTATAGCGTTATATTTGGGTAAATATGGGTAGGTTATGTTAAAAAAAGTAGATATTTCAAAGTCTTTTTCATATCAATTTAAGTATTAGAGCATTTACAATTTTATGTTCCTTTGAAAACTAAAAATAAAATTATTTAGAATGGGTCTTAAAAGCCACTGCATGCATAGTGCCGATTAGTAATAACAATCCTTCGTGATGAAGGAAAATTTGCAAATTCATTGCAAATACGTTAGGACGACCGGAAAACTTTGTAACTAAGTCTCTTAACAAAAAAATTACAAATGAATTACAATTCGTGGTCGTCCAAGAAAATACGACCTGATTGAAGAATCCCACATACTGCTCATGGCAACGAGTTGGACTAAATATTAGCTCCCGGACACCTCGGTACCCATTAATAACAGGAATCTACCGGGGCATAAAACCAGAAAAATTCTCTTCAACGAAAAGTCCACTCACAGAAGGGATTTTCGTGCTGAACACAAAAAAAAAGTGCCGAAATTTTTTATTCAGTGACGAACTTAAAATTAATATTTACGGAAATGATTGTAAATGAACTGTCTACCGGCTTAAAGGTAAAGAGTTCGAGCGAAGATACACCACAAAGACAATAAATCATTGGGGCGAAAAGATACTGGTGTTGGGATATTTCACCTGGCAAGACGTTGGTCTTTTATTTTAGACAAAGGACACAATGGTAGGCTAAGAGTACAGAGATATTTTGTAAAACGTTATGTTACCATGGACTAAAAAAACATGCCACTGAGATGGTGTTATCAATCAACTAGATAATAACTCGAAACACACAGCGGGGTAAGTCAATTCTCTGATACCAACGCGTTTGAGAACTTATGGAGTGGATTTAACAGGAGATTGGCAGCCTTTTCATTTCATAATAAGGAGCAATTGTGGCGGAAAGTAAAGAAACTTTGAGATGAAACCAAAATTGAAAAATGTCAAAATTAAATCCATTCATGCCGAATAGAATTGGAAAACTTATGAAAAACCACTGAAGATATGAACCACGGGTACAGGTTATTAAAACCAGTGGATGTAATAACGGCTAACTTAATTTTTTTTTTAATATTGATAATAATATTGATAATTTCGTCTATCTTGGAACCAGCGTAAACACCACCAACAATGTCAGCCTAGAAATCCAACGCAGGATAACTCTTGCCAACAGGTGCTACTTCRGACTGAGTAGGCAATTGAGAAGCAAAGTCCTCTCTCGACAAACGAAAACCAAACTCTATAAGTYACTCATAATACCCGTCCTGCTATATGGTGCAGAGGCTTGGACGATGACAACAACTGATGAATCGACGTTGCGAGTTTTCGAGAGAAAAGTTCTGCGAAAGATTTATGGTCCTTTGCGTGTTGGCCACGGCGAATATCGCATTCGATGGAACGATGAGCTGTACGGGATATACGACGACATTGACATAGTTCAGCGAATTAAAAGACAGCGGCTACGCTGGCTAGGTCATGTTGTCCGGATGGACGAAAACGCTCCAGCTCTGAAAGTATTCGACGCAGTACCTGCCGGGGGAAGCATAGGAAGAGGAAGACCTCCACTCCGTTGGAAGGACCAAGTGGAGAAGGACCTGGCTTCACTTGGAATATCTAATTGGCGCCACGTAGCGAAAAGAAGAAACGACTGGCGCGCTGTTGTTAACTCGGCTGTAATCGCGTAAGCGGTGTCTACGCCAATCAGGAAGATGAAGATTGAGAAAACATATTTTACACCAATTATTTTGTCCACTGCTATTTCTTGTTAAAAACTTCAGTTTTAATGCTCGGAAAGAAAATTTACGACATATTTCCGTTTAATACAGTAAAGCAGAGATATAACTAAAATAAAATAGTTTTACTGCAAACCTATCAAAGCTATTAAGGTAAGAGGTTAGGTGGGTTTGGAAATTAAAAAAAAATTATTTTTTTTTTTGTCTTATTAAGTAGCACAATATGTTCAAATTATTCTCCAAAAATTTTAAATCAATTCGAGCAAACTCCTAAGAGGTAGACACTTCCCATTAGACCACGTGATGAATGGAGCGCATCATAAGGAAGCATGTTATTTAAACTAAACTAAAACTTTAAACGCGTTTACCTCAAAACATTATTTTTGTAGTCGGTAGACACGACTTCTCGAAAAGTTATGGACCGATTTTCTTTAAATTTTGCCAACATCTTTAAAATAACATTATATAGTAATTGAAGGAAGGGATTTGTTACAATTTATTTTTTCGAGCTAATAAATGGCGAAAATAACAACAAAGCGGCAGCAGGGAGATGAGATCGTAATGGCTGAATTTTCAAAATTTTTTTATAAAAATTTCAGAAAATAATAGTAACTATTAAAAAAAATCGTAATAAAATACTTTTTTTGAACCTCTGAAACCCACTTAACCCCTTTAAACTGCTACCTATTACTATATCCATAAATATATGTATATGAGTGACTATGCAACTACGTCAATATAATTCCCTCACAGTATAACTAAATACTAAATTTCTAGCACAAAAGACTCCATACATTTATTTTCTAGCATCTTTTATGTGTGTAGTGTATAGATAAAGATACAGTTATGTCAAAGACTGGAAGCTTTTTTATTATATCGAAAATATGTACTCACGATAAAATTTTAGGCAATTTTCTTGTAGGCACTGAAGTGATTAATTGTCCCCATACTAACGTACCAATACCAAAAAATATGCACCATAACCACTGATCAAGAGACAGTGCCTTAGTGGAGAATGCCATTTTACCGTATTGTATAATAACAACCTAGAAAAACTCAAATTACTTATTCGCTTATATCAATCGGAATAAAATGCATACCTGAGAAATCATTGTGAAAATCCATATTGTATAAAATATCGGATTAGTGAATAAACCTTCTACTACATTTCTCTGTCCATGTATTTTTCTTGCATTTATCTCATTGAACAAAGTCATCATTACGAATGTATTAAAAATTATAGTGAAATGTTGTGTAGGTCCAGCACCAAGGTCTTGGCCACGCCCGGATTCAATATCAAGTATCCAATCTCCTAAAATTCACACCATGTATATTTTAATAAAAAACAGATAATAATTGAACAAATATTCTTACCCACAAACAATAGCCCGAAAATAATAAATAGCTGATACAAAGCTTGTCCCAAAATATTTTTCATCATTGTGCGTGATATCAAAGGTTTAGTACGACCGTACGGTTTACGTAAAAGCAAATCTGGTGTTGGAAGTTCAGTTGCTAAGGCCAATGATGCAAGAGTATCCATAATGAGATTTACCCACAACATTTGAACAGCCTGTTGATACACGCAATGGGATATAAACTACAAGCATTTATTTTCGATTAACATATACCTTTAGTGGTGAATCTTGGACTGCACATGCGCCAATAAATGCAACAATCACGGCAACGACATTCACTGTCAATTGAAATTGCAAAAATTTAGCAATTGAATCGTACACATTTCGTCCCCACATTACTGCTTTCACAATACTGCTGAAATTATCATCTGTTAATATAATATCAGAGGCTTCCTTTGCCACATCCGTCCCAGCAATCCCCATTGCAAAGCCTACGTCAGCCTTCTTCAACGCCGGACCATCATTAGTTCCATCACCAGTCACAGCGACGACTTCACGGTTTTCGCTTACTTTGCTGTCAATAATACCTGTCCGCACAAAGTTATTTTATTTTTAGGGATATGATAGTTTATTAATCGACAAAGGAAAACATACACACCTTTAACAAGGGTGTATTTGTCTGTTGGTGATGAACGCGCTAACACTCGAAGCTTTGGCCACACTTTATCAAGTAAATGTTGTTGAACCTGTAAACAAAATTTTTACACAATTTTTATTTTACTATGACCTATTAAGCTAATGCGATTCACTCACGTCTCCATTACTGTCCCTAATTCGACGGTTGAACTCTTTGCCTTCTAAAATGAGGAAATCGTCGTTTGGGCGCAATATACCACATTTAGAAGCGATTGAACGTGCAGTGTTAATGTTATCACCGGTAACCATGCGGACAGTTATGCCAGCTCTCTGACACTTCCGTATAGCATCAGGAACTTCGGGACGGACGGGATCTTCAATTCCTACAACACATAAGCATGTCAAATTAGTCATAATATTATCTTCGTCATCCCAGTTTGGTTCGCCATCAATATGAACTTCGTTTATAGCTGCTTTGCCAGGTACAAAATCACGATATGCAACGGAAATAGTACGAAGGCCATCACAAGCCATCGGTTCAATGACTTCTCGTATGAGTCGCTCTTGCATGTCGCGAGTGAATTTTTCCAAAACTCCGTCGTGGCCATAAATAAAAGAACACCTAAAATATATGAATATTATTACTCAGGTTTTTCCAAAAATCAATGTTTCATTATTATTCGTACTTTTTAAGCATAATTTCAGAAGCTCCTTTTGAAAATAGGCGATATCCACCATTTGGACGAGGAATGACTGTGCCCATACTTTTGCGAACGGAATTAAATGTATATACTCTTGTAAACTTATCTTCAGTAATTTCGTCACGAATCGACTGATATTTAACTCCTAAACCTTGAACGAATCCTAACAAAGCACACTCAGTTTTATTGCCTACCTGTATTGGTAGATCTCCAGGATTTTGACCAGGCTGTTAGGGAATGAAGTGTTATACGGTGTAAACTCTTTTTCGTCTACTCTTACCATGATATTGGATGTGTAAGCTGAATTCACTGAAATACCCATTGTTATCAAATTGCCCACATGTTGCGGTATATCGTTCAAAGTTGGAAGAACTTTACACAATTTTTCACATATATAAGATTGAACGACAGTCATTCGATTTGTTGTAAGAGTACCAGTCTTGTCCGAGCAAATGGCAGTGGCGTTACCCATGGTTTCACAAGCATCTAAATGTCTCACTAAGTTGTTGTCTTTCATCATTTTCTACATAGTTTTTAAAAGGCAATCAGTCCGCCATTATAGATGGTTAATATATACCAACCTTCACGGAATATGCTAACGACAGTGTAACAGCTAATGGCAAACCTTCTGGAACTGCTACTACTAATACGGTGACGCCAATAATCAAGTGTTTAACCAAATTGTTTGCATAAGTATTTTTCCACTGTTTTTCTTCAATAACAAAAGTCTTTATGCAGAACTGGATAACTAGTATAATAACAGTTAATACAGCTATTGTAGAACCGGCATAACCAATTTGTATAGCCAACTTTGTCAATTTCGCTTGCAGAACAGACTTTTCCTTTTTATGACTAGCTTCAGCTGGGGATGAAGCTTGTTGAACGTGATTACCATCGGATTCAGATTTGACACCGTCTGTTGGTGGTGGGGACATGTTTTTAATGGGCGCCCGGCCATCATCAACACCTACATACAGACGTTTTTAATAATCAATATGTCACATTAATAGATTATATTTAAGATATTACATTGATGATGATGAAGAATAGAAAACCCAATACAAAGACACACTATACTATGTTGTATTAATGATGCAATTAATAAACCAATAAGTAATTATCAATACATAGTATAAAACAAAGTGGCCTTTTCTGTCCTAAGTCCCTTTGTATGCTAAAATCTTCAAAACTACGCAACGGATTTTACTTAACAGATAGTGAATGAAGAGGAAGGTTTATATGTATAATAACATCCCTTAAATAGTGAAGAAATACTTTTAATTACAAATAATAGTATAAATAATTACATTTTCCCGCTTACATTGCAAATGCAGGCTGAACCTTACGAGGATTTTTCAAAAAATTTACTAAGTATTGTACACATTGAAAACGTCAACAGAAAACTCCGCGATGTTATATGCCTATCCTTATGGATATCCCACAATAAAATTTTTGTCATTCACTTTTTACGACAAATAATGGCTAATTTTCGAAGCGATTTTAACCAATACAGTATTAATACTTATTCCATAAACACATTGTTGATTTTATATAAATCTGTACGATTTAAGTTAATATTTTCGAAGATATTACAGATTTAAAAATTGCGAGCGCTTGGGCGGTACAGCCCGGCCGGGGCGACGGGAGCTTGCTTATAAATAGCGCGTCGGAGACCGTGGTTCTCCCTATGACACTGTGAATTTAGCAGCGTTTATTAGCGCAGCTCTCTAACGCTCTCTAACTGATCCTTCCTCAAAAATAATAAAAACTTCTAAATATTTGGAATAGTAGAATAGAACTGCAACCAAATACACAGTGCAATGGATTACAACTGACTCAGTAATCAGTCGATGAATGCCAGCCTTTCATCTTTCCACGCTTTAGAACCGGTATCAACAGTATTTTCCCCCAAAAAGCAATGCTTTATTAAAACACGAAAAAGCATTTGATCCATTTTTTTGTAAACTAACTCAAGTTCCTTTACAAAAATGCTATATCTCATTAACTAATAGTTATAATCTTACTAATAGAAATCATAAAGATGGTAGCAGTAGTATTATCTAAGTGTCAGCCACAGTAAAGCGTGGACGGGTCCTCTAGTATTTGTATAAACATTTTTTGTATTTAATAATAATTAGCTTGCACATGATTTAGTTTTCATGTTCATATTTCATTTGTATATGTACCTATATAGAGTTTTGCTATTAAGATTATATTACTGCAAGTGACGAATGCTGCGATTGAATTAAGATGCCAATGCCCTGAAGTACTGCAAACATATAAACGATGACGAGATTTACACAGTTGCATATAATTAGGTATGTATCAGAGAACTGCAACGTGTAATAAATTTTTGTTCATAATTAAGTATTGATTCGCTCCTCTGTCAGTTCGATTCATGTACAAAATTCGAACCGTTTGTCTTCAAATCAGTTGACCCTGGTCGGTACTCGAATTGATCAACAATGTCGTCTATGATGAACTGAATTAATTTGATTGTGTTTTTGGCACGACGGTAGGTTCTGACTTAATCATAGTCGTTGTACTCTCTGCTATGTCATAAGCATAAAAAATACCTTTCATTTAACACTACGAAAAAGGAAAACATATTGGAGCAATTTTAATTCCATAACGGGGCAATTCGACAAACTAAAGTGTATGGCTCCCAAACCATACTGACTGTCAAATCTATTGCCATTGCCAGTGCTAAATTTGTATATGGTCATTTGTTATCATATCATAACCATATGCGAAAAGGCGTCGGGTAGATATGTATGTTCGAGCTGATGTAGCGCATGTTTTGAGGTCTTGAACTGTTTAAATTTTTATATGGATGAAAAAAATTTATGTTCTTTATAAAAAACGGAGAAAAATAATTTTTTCTATAAATTTATTTCTTGAGAAAAAAAAACAATTTCCTATTGTCGGACTATAATAATTGTATTATAAATTTTATATACTAATTAAAGTAATATACACTGGTGGTCACAGAATTAAGGACACTCCGTTTTCTGTTAAAACATTGGTTTATTTTATAATTTAAAAGCCTCATATTTTTTTTAAACTTGAGTTGCTATATTTATTATCTTCTAAGACATATGTATATTTATTGAAAATTTAACGAAAAACTTGTTTTCAATTCTACGTGCGACAAAAATTAATCATATACAGTATCGGACAAAACATTTGCAACTAGAGCGAAGTTCTAGATTTTTTTTTTGTCTTGCAATGCCATTTTTATTCGAATTGCTTTTTGTTTCTTGTTTTTAAATTTACAGCATTGAAGTTACATATTTTGTAATGTTTATCGCGATCATTGTCTAAAAATAGTGAAACATAGTTGCTATGTTATGGCCTGGGAATGCTTTTCTGCGTCTGGTTTTGTGGCCGCCTCATCGTATTTTGTAGCATGGATCGGTACATTTACAGAGACATTATGGAATCCGTAATTTAGTCACATGCTGAATGGGAAATGCCACTTAAGTAGGTCTTCCACCAGGACAACGACCCGAAGCATATGGCATAGGTCCCAAAATCGTGGTTACAGAGGAATAAAGTCGATGTAATAGAGTGGCCTCCATAGTCTCGAGGCCTTAGTCCTATTTAAATTTATGGGAAATTATAAAAAAAAAAAGAATTTATCGCAGTAATCTGCCAAATACCGATCAGTGTTTTCAAAAGGCTCTGGAGGCATTTAGAAATATACCCCAAAGTATAGTGGATAACCTCACAGCTTCAATGCCGCTGCGATGCCAAGCAGTTATTGAGAATAATGAGTTTTCTGCAAAATACTAAGTTTTTCTTTTATTTCATTAAAAATAGTGAACCGTTTTCATTGAGTTACAATTGCTTTGCCTTATTTATGAATTTTCAATTGTTCATAAAATGTGTTTGATAACTCATGCCCAGCTCTTGACCGATGCTACGGCTGCTACTATGCCGGACTCTTTCGACCAATTCCGCGATTTTATCACAATTTTCGATRACAGGCCTTCCGGAGCGTGGCGCATCTTCGACCACCTCTACACCAGAACGAAAACGTTGAAACCATCGTTGTGCGGTGGAAATGGAAACTGCATCGGTTCCATAAACTGCACAAATTTTATGGGCGGCTTGAGATGCATTTTTGCCTTTATCGTAGTAGTACTATAAAATATGCCGTATTTTCTCTTTATTTTTCTCCATGTTTGCGACGCTATAACTCACGAACGACTTAAAAGAAACGACAATCAATCAAACACGTGTTAGCGCGTGGAATGAGCTTTTCAAAAAGGTATAGCATGACCCGATGCTACGAATAAAACTAGAACTACTCGCTCTCAGCGCCAACTAACGAAAATACCGCAAGACTTTTTTGACAACCATATATTAAACAAATAAGCTGAAGAATATTATTAAATTTGCGTTTTTTACCTTAATTAACATCCAATATTTAACATAGAATTAAAATAGTAAGTCTCCGGAAATTATTTTCTGTGTAATCGACAATATTTTCATTATAATATTTCAGTTGCAAATGTTTTGTCCGATACTGTATATCTATTTTGACTTGGTCAACTAATTAAGGACACTTCAAATTTTAATTAGTATATTAAAAATAATACTAAAAAATTTAATTTTGAAATGATTCGTCAGCATTTTTGCTTGATTTTTTCCTAAGCATCTTATGACATCTGCCCAGAGGTTTTCGATTGGATTTAAGTCCGGCAAGCCAATCCAAAACCGTAATGTATGGTTCAGGCACGTGTTCCTTTGCACAAGGCTTCATTGTGCTCGACAATATATTTTTATATAAATATTGGCCCATTCTTTGAGTTATCGGTCGAACCTACGCCGTACCACGAAAGCGCAGCCCAAACCATAATACTGCCTCCACCATGCTTAACCCTTTTTAAAGTGTATACACGGTGAAATTCCTTGTTTGGAGGACGTCGAACAAATTGTTTCCCATTGAGCCAAACAAATTAAACTTGGATTCATCGCCCCACAGTATTTGTTTCAAAAAATTTAAGGGTTTTCCGACATGCTCCTTTGCAAATTTACTACAACGCTTTAAATTTTTGTTTGACACGTGCGGTTTTTTTCTTGCGATACAACCCCGTAGCCCATTTTCAAAAAAACGTCGTCTGATGGTTCGTGTTGATACAACACAATCGTCCTTTGGGTCGTTTTTTTTCTTATTTTATTCCCTGTACTTCCGTAATGAATCAAAGCATGGCGAACTATTGATTTTGAGCGCAAAAGTTCCTTCGCTACGACTCTAATGGACATTTTTTCCTTCACGTCCTTGTAAGTAATCCATATAACCCATGTCTAACAGTTTTATTACTTAAATTTGAATATATAGTTAATATACAAATGATATACACAACTTACCACAAGTTTTTGTGTTAATATAACAAAAATTGGTGTCATTAATTATGTGACCAAGCACCAGCACACTCAAAAACCAATTCATCAAACCTCCGAATTTTAGTTAAAGTGTCTAAATTTGTCACGCAAACATGTGCTACATTTTTATGCACAGTTATAATATACCGTTGCAATTTACAGTGGGTCTCTAGGCGAAATTTAGTACAACAAACATAGAACTTTAACTAATAATGTGGTCACCAGTCTATATTAAATAGGAATGATATTTTGATTTATGATTATTATATGTATTAAGACATAATCGCCAATATATTTTGAGTAATTTTTCTACAAATTAACAATATTAAACTAAATATGAATTTGTTGCAAAAATGTATTAAATTATTTTGAAAATGTACTTTATTTTTATAATTTAACACAACCGTCTTAATACTCGCTCTACTAAATTTAATATTAGGCGTATTTTATTTCACCAGCAAATCAAGCTATTAGCTTATTTTATATGGAAGACTTAGCCAACATAAGCTTGTCATAAGCTATCATATCTTGTATATTGAACTAGAGGAATTGCCAGTTTATCGCTTTTTTCATTCA